GAGCTTGTTGGTGAGATTAGTTTGTTCATTCAAGTGAGTTGTAATCTCAGTTTGTACTCTTTCTCTATTAGTGAAAACCCCATCCCCTTCCTTGTCCTGTGGACGTAGGCAATTTGCTGAACCACGTTAAAATTGGTGTTTTGTTTATGCATTGATATTTACTTTGTTTGGCTCTCTTGGATTAGCGTTTGGTTTGGTTCCTCGACACAGCTTTTGGCACTACAATTTGGTATCAGAGCTCGGGCTACGCTTGGGCTATTTGAAGGAGTAGATCGATTTGAGAAGCTCGTCTAGGGTTTCAGTTGGTGAGAAATGTGGGATCTTTTCGGTAAAGCTTCTTTCTTTTCTTAGTTTTGGATCTATTCTTCGTTTGTTTCCGCATTGGTTGTTGGTGTGTTGAGGATTATGGCCAAAAAAGAGGGAGTTGAGGGTAGTTCTTCAGGTGTGAAGACTGTCCAAAGTTTGAGTATTCACTCGATGAAGATTGACATGGAGAAGTTTAATAGCACTAACAATTTTGGACTTTGGCGATGCGAAGTCTTGGTTGCGTTTAATGCGTAGAATTTGGAAGATACGTTAGAGTTGGACGGGAAATCGGACGACATTAATGAGAAGGTTTGGAAAAAGATGAATCGGACAGCGTGTGGTGTGATTAGACGGGAAATCGGACGACATTAATGAGAAGGTTTGGAAAAAGATGAATCGGACAGCGTGTGGTGTGATTAGGTCTTGTCTCACTCAAGATCTGAATCGGACAGCGTGTGGTGTGATTAGGTCTTGTCTCACTCAAGATCTAAAATATGATGTGATGAATGAAACTTATGCGAAGAAGATTTGGGAGGTCCTAGAGAGCAAGTACTTGACGAAGAGTGTTGAAAACCGTTTGCATTTGAAGAGGAGGCTTTATCGCTTCCAATTGAAAAAGGGGACATCCATTAGTGATCACATGAACCACTACACGAAGCTTCTTGCAGATTTGACGAATGTAGATGTCATTGTTGAAGATGAGGACAAGGCGTTGCTATTGTTGAGTTCCTTGCCCGGCGAGAAATATAAGACGTTTGTCCTTACTCTTATTAATGGGAAGGCATCTCTTTCATATAGTGAGGTCACCGCTGCGTTAGTGAATTACCAACTCAGGAAGAAGGACAAAGAGACTTCTATTGAGCCAGTAACGGGGGCATTGGTTGCAAGAGCAAAGGGTCCAAAATCGAGGTAGAATGTCACATTCTAGAGGAGCACATCTTGGAATTCGTAGGAATCGGTATGCTTTTTGTAAAGAAGATGGACATTGGAAAGCTGAATGCCCAAAGTTGAATGATCAAGCCGGGAAGAATAAGGGGAAAACTATACAAGCTTCAAAGGTGAATATTGTCAAGACTAGTGGTAACAATTCAGATTCAGATTCTTCAGGCTACTCATTATCTGCACTGTCGTCAGTTTGTGTCGCCTACTCTATAGAGTGGATGTTAGATTCGGGTGCTACATACCAGATTTGTCCTAGGAGGGATTGGTTCTCCAGCTTTCAGGAGTTGGAAAGAGGGGATTTCGTGCTCATGAGGAATGATCACAAATGCTCTATTGGTGTTATCGATACCTTTCGGATCAGGATGAGTGATGGGGTGATTCGGGAGTTGGTTGGAGTGAGGTTCGTTCCTCAGTTGAAGAAGAATATCATTTTACTTGGAGCTTTGGAGGCAGCAGGCTATAGGGTGACCTTGACGGATGCACGCTTGAAGGTTACATTTGGGTCCATGATTGTGATGAAGGGCGTCAGAAAGAGTAACTTATACTATTTTCTTGGGAGTACGGTGATTGATAGAGCTCTAACGACTTTATTAGATTTGGCTAGATTATGACGTTGTTTGGTGGGGTATTTGATTGGTGATGTCGTGCATAGGTTGTTAAGGAGTGCTTTGCCCTGCAGATGGAAGTCCTTTGAGCACATTGGGATGAGCAAGACCGAGATGGAGTTTGGCACTCTTATCCATCGAGCGAGGGGTCTTTTAGGAGGTGTTCAGTTAGGTATTTGGGGGCCTTCCAAGGAGGCATCATTGGGAGGTAATCGTTTTGTAGTTTTCACAGTTGGTGATTGTTCTAGGTATTATTGGGTCGCGACCAGTTCCCGTTGGTGTAAAGTCCTAGAAGTCAACAACAATCGGAAGAAGTGTACTGGCAGAAAGGTAACTCGTTGTTCTAGCTTTAGTAAGGGCCCTTTCTTGCGTTTGTGCCGAGCTCACGGCAATAGGATACACTTCATTGGTGTGGAGACTTTGGGGCGACAAGATGAGATGACAGTTTCGATGGGTCGTTCCTTTCTGGAGGAGGATCGGCGTTGGTTGTCGGGCATTAGTTCTGGAGCTTTGACATATTTGGGTCATCTTAGTCATAGGTCGTCGACTGCTGCATTAGAAGTTATTGGATCTGGTGGAGCTGCTTTAGATTTTGGTTGGCGTCGGATATTTGGTTACCCAGCATTTGGTCACATCGAGGATGTGAGATTTGATCTGATTGCGCGTTTGGGATTCAGAGGCTTATTTGATTATCGTTTGGGAGCTTCTGATCTTGTTCTGAGCAGGTATGTCACTTTTGACTCTCGGCATCGCAGCAGGTGGAGGGGGATGCTACTTCACGTTGGGTGGAACTCACATACTCCAGATCATACTGCATCATTTGGGATTCCAGCTGAGGTGACACAGGTTGGGGATCATTTGATTTCGGATGCAGATGATGGATTGGTTTTGGATACGGTTGTAGCTGGTGGATATGATTTGGATACGGCCATTGGTTCACCTCAGATGGAGGTGTTTGATTTGTATCAGTTTGGGACCGCTATCAGTTGTAGATCCGTTGGTGATATTGGGGAAGAGTTGCAGAATTTTCTATTTGTTTGAGGGCCTTTGGAGGCCGTTTGGGTGAACTACGTGAATGCTTGATTCCTTGGGCAAGAGGATACGTAGGCAGTCAGTTTTGATGCAGCCGATTTGGTGAGTAGATATCGACATTTGGGTGAGTGTTCGCATTCCCGTTTGGGTCTCGACTTGTGTGGATGGAGTCCGTTGTCATGAGTCCGTTGCCGTGGCGTACTGGACGCAACAAGTGAGGCATTTGGTTTGGTCGGTGTCGGCTTAGCTTTGGGAAAACTTCGCCGAGGTGGAGAATTATTGGAAAACAGATTCCTAATCTATTTTGGTAACATGAGGTTATTAGGATTCCTATTCTATTTTGGTAATAGGTTATTAGGATTCCTAATTTGATTTGGTTTTGGTTTAGAATTCCTAGTATGTTTATGATTTTAGGATTTCTATATATATGGATCAATTGGAAGAGAGAATTGGGAGAAGAAAATTGGGGATATTTGGAGCACAGAAAATAGGTATTTTCTGAGCTATTTGTTTAGGGTTTTGTTTGGAGAGATTAAGAGTTTGTTGGTGAGATTAGTTTGTTCTTTCGAGTGAGTTGTAATCTCAGTTTGTACTCTTTCTCTATTCGTGAAAACCCCATCCCCTTTCTTGCCCCGTGGACGTAGGTAATTTTTCGAACCACGTTAAAATTGGTATTTTGTTTGTGCATTGATATTTAGTTTGTTTGCCTCTCTTAGATTGGCGTTTGGTTTGGTTCCTCGACACAGCTTTTGGCACTACAGTTTATACTTTGTTCTCATTTTCTCAATAAAATTGCAAATATTTGGTAAGAAATAATTAATACTATGCAGTTCAAAAACTAAATCCCAGAAGTTTGAAAAGTTCGTGGTCTTGAATCTTCAAGTGTATCTGTACATGTATATTATGTTTGGCACTGGATTTTCAAATGAACCTACTAAATGTAAAGTGAATATCCATGTCAATCTCGTAGGATTCTAAATGAATGCGTTTCTTGACATATCTTGGTACGTATTAATGGTTTATAATGTATTTGTTAGCAAACAACCTGTGTTTTTGTGATTGTCGAGGGAAAAAAACGGTCTGCTTATGTACTTTATAATTTGCCATGATCCGTTACCTATAGAGTCGTGGCTTAATAATAAATACGATTATCTAATAATTTTCTTTTTGGTATTTGCTAGTACATCATTTGATTAGCAATTAGCAAACATTCTGAGTCACCTCAAAGTGACTCGGAAATTCCGAGTCACTTCGAGGTGTCTCCCATATTCAGACTCCCCCAAAACGTGTTTTTCGATGATTTCTCGGGATTCGTTCGTTCCATTGCTTCCTAATTGCCTTGGGTCATCCCTAAACGTGGTAAAGTCGTTTCTAACTGGAGATAAGATCAAATCACGAATTATTATCCGAAAACATGGCGTCTGAAGCCTAAATACACCCCTAGGGACCCTATACACGGGGAATCCGAAATTTAGAGCTTTGAGGGGAGGTGTTGACCCTGTGAGAGCAGAACCCATGAATTTCAGAGAGGAGAAAGCGAGATCTTGGCGAACTTCAGCATAAAGAGGGAGATTTCGAGAGATCTGCAACCTTTCACTTGTTTCCTTGAGATCAGACTTTATTTTGATCTTGAGATGAGTAGTAATCTCACTTGGTTGAGATTATTTACTTCAGTTCTAAGTCTCCTCGATTGAGACAAAGAATACTACGCCTTCGTGCGCATCAACCGGATCTGATTCTTGGCGGTCCACGGATCAAAGCGTCCCCGGCACAGGCAAAGATCTCACGCAAGCAGAAGATTGATAAACGTTCTATGCGTGTGTTTCTAGGAGATTTCTGTTTTTTTTTTGTGTGTATAAAAGTCTTATAAAAAGGCTCCTTCTTTTGAATCTATTGTAAAACGATAAATGTTGTAATGAATTCCCAAATGAAATTAATTTCCGACGCAAACAGAACAAGGTAAATAATTTAACATGTTTGCAACGAAGGCACGTCACAACTGTTGCATCTCATAAGGAGGCCAAAAAAAACATCATGAGCTAAGTTGGTATTAAATAAACCAAAGTTGCGTGAAATTCATTAATCCAAATATAATTAAGATCATGTCCCCGTTAATTATATATATTCTCATGAATCTAATAAAGTGGTCTCTCCATTCAGTATTCACCTTTGCTAGAATGAGAACTTATTACAATTTGAGCAGTTACGATCACTTACAGCCACCTATAATACCGCCTACACCACCGAAATAAAACTTGGATCCTGTCTTTTCATTTATGAACTCTCCCAACCTGTAGCAATCGGTCCTGTCATCGTAAGCAAACTCTTCACCGTCTGTCAATGCATAGGTATTTCCGCTTTTATCTGCAAACTGAATATTTTGAATTGCTGCTGCCTTTCCTTCGCCTTCCTCAGGAAAATGACCGCTGCCCATGGGAGGACTATCGTCATTTTTGTCAAAGTTTACTGCTCCACCCCAACTAATTTCTTGGGCACCTTGAGATAGACCCGTGAATAAAGTTTTCGGCCAGAATCCTATTGGCGAATTGTCAACGTGTAACCACCAATCTCCACTGTTCTCATCCTATACCATAAAATATTAAGATATGAGGAAAATTTAGACGTTATTCATGATAACAATAGGAGAGAAAAATTTTGTAGTCCTATCAAGATGAAAATAGGCGTAGTTTGAAAGTGTCCACTTTCACAATATGAAGTTTAGAAGACCTTCAAAGACTATATAAATCACAAACGTCCTACAAGGACTGAATCATGCATATATTATGATCAGGAACTAATATCAAATTATATATTGATGTATTCTAGCGTTTGAAATTTATCATACATGCGTAGGGAAACTACATAGATGGAAAGAAGTAATTTACGTCCGTCAGTAAATAGATAATAGACAACACATTGGATACTTTGATAGGTAAATTACATCGAAAAACTTGAGCCCCAAATGATGCGTTCACAACTGAAATTTTTGATAATAAACACAGTAAGGCATGGAAATGAAAAAAAAACTTGGTAACTAAAAATATATATCATTTTTCATCTAAAAAATATATATCATTACTATTTTTCAATATTAGATATATACACGCAGCAA